GCTGCTGTTTTGTTCCTTCAGTTTTTGCTTTGTTGTTATACTCCACAGATGAGGGAAGTCATTTGGTACTTGTCTTTCTCCACCTGGCTTATTTCACTGAGCATAATACCCTCCAGCTCCATCCATGTTGCTGCAAATGGTAGGATTTGTTTTCTTCTTATGGATGAATAATATTCCATTGTGTGTATTTGTACCACATCTTCTTTATCCATTCATCTACTGATGGACACTTAGGTTGCTTCCATTTCTTGGCTATTGTAAATAGTGCTGCGATAAACATAGGGGTGCATATGTCTTTTTCAAAGTGGGCTGCTGCATTCTTAGGGTAAATTCCTAGGAGTGGAATTCCTGGGTCAAATGGTATTTCTATTTTGAGTTTTTTGAGGAACCACCATGCTGCTTTCCACAATGGTTGAACTAATTTACATTCCCACCAGCAGTGTAGGAGTGTTCCCCTTTCTCCACATCCTCGCCAGCATGTGTTGTTGTTTGTCTTTTGGATGGTGGCCATCCTTACTGGTGTGAGGTGATATCTCATTGTGGTTTTAATTTGCATTTCTCTGATGATTAGTGATGTGGAGCATCTTTTCATGTGCCTGTTGGCCCTCTGAATTTCTTCTTTAGAGAAGTGTCTGTTCAGATCCTCTGCCCATTTTTTAATTGAATTATTTGCTTTTTGTTTGTTGAGGTGCATGAGCTCTTTGTATATTTTGGATGTCAACCCCTTATCGGATATGTCCTTTATGAATATATTCTCCCATACTGTAGGATGTCTTTTTGTTCTACTGATGGTATCCTTTGCTGTACAGAAGGTTTTTAGTTTGATATAGTCCCACTTGTTCATTTTTGCTTTTGTTTCCCTTACCCAGGGAGATATGCTCATGAAAAAGTTGCTCATGTTCGTATTCAAGAGAGTTTTGCCTATGTTTTCTTCTAAGAGTTTAATGGTTTCATAACTTACATTCAGGTCTTTGATCCATTTTGAGTTTACTTTTGTGTATGGAGTTAGTAATCCAGTTTCATTCTCTTACATGTAGCTGTCCAGTTTTGCCAACACCAGCTGTTGAAGAGGCTGTCATTTGCCCATTGTATGTTCATGGCTCCTTTATTGTATATTAATTGACCATATATTCTTGGGTTAATATCTGAACTCTCTATTCTGTTCCACTGATCTATGGGTCTGTTCTTGTGCCAGTACCAAATGGTCTAGATTACTGTGGCTTTGTAGTAGAGCTTGAAGTTGGGGAGTGTAATTCCCCCAGCTTTATTCTTCCTTCTCAGGATTGCTTTGGCTATTCAGGGTCTTTTGTGGTTCCATATGAATTTTAGAATGATTTTCTCTAGTTCATTGAAGAATGCTGTTGGTATTTTGATAGGAATTGCATTGAATCTGTAGATTGCTTTAGGCAGGATGGCCATTTTGACAATATTAATTCTTCCTATACACAAGCACAGGATGTGTTTCCATTTATTGGTATCTTCTTTAATTTCTTTCATGAGTGTCTTGTAGTTTTCAGAGTATAGGTCTTTCACTTCCTTGGTTAGGTTTATTTCTAGGTATTTTATTCTTTTTTTGATGCAATTGTGAATGGAATTGTTTTCCTGATTTCTTTCTGCTAGTTCATCGTTAGTGTATACGAATGCAACAGATATCTGTGTATTAATTTTGTATCCTGCAACTTTGCTGAATTCAGATATTAGTTCTAGTAGTTTTGGAGTGGAGTCTTTAGAGTTTTTACGTACAATATCATGTCATCTGCAAACAATGACAGTTTGACTTCTTCCTCACCAATCTGGATGCCTTTTATTTCTTTGTGTTTTCTGATTGCCGTGGCTCAGACCTTCAGATCTATGTTGAATAAAAGTGGGGAGAGTGGGCATCCTTGTCTTGTTCCTGATCTTAGAGGAAAAGCTTTCCGCTTTTCACTGTTAGGTATGATGTTGGCTCTGGGTGTGTCATATATGGCCTTTATTATGTTGAGGTACTTGCCCTCTATACCCATGTTGTTGAGAGTTTTTATCATGAATGGGTGTTGAATTTTGTCAAATGCTTTTTCAGCATCTATGCAGATGACCATGTGATTTTTGTCCTTCTTTTTGTTGATGTGGTGGATGATGTTGATGGATTTTCCAATGTTGTACCATCCTTGCATCCCTAGGATGAATGTCATTTGATCATGATGTCTGATTCTCTTGATGTATTTTTGAATTTGGTCTGCTAATATTTTGTTGAGTATTTTTGCATCTATGTTCATCAGGGATATTGGTCTGTAGTTTTCTTTTTTTGTGGTATGTTTGCCTGGTTTTGGTATTAGAGTGATGCTGGCTTCATAGAAGGTGTTTGGGAGTATTCTCTCCTCTTCTGTTTTTTGGAAAACTTTAAGGAGAATGGGTATTATGTCTTCTCTAAATGTCTGATAAAATTCAGCGGTGAATCCATCTGGCCTGGCAGTTTTGTTCTTTGGTAGTTTTTTGATTACTGCTTCAATTTCATTGCTGGTAATTGGTCTGTTTAGATTTTCTGTTTCTTCCTTGGTCAGCCTTGGAAAGTTGTATTTTTCTAGAAAGTTGTCCATTTCTTCTAGGTTATCCAGTTTGTTACCATATAATTTTTCATAGTATTCTCTCATAATTCTTTGCATTTCTGTGGTGTCTGCAGTGATTTTTTGTTTCTCATTTCTGATTCTGTTTATGTCTGTAGATTCTCTTTGTTACTTAGTAAGTCTGGTAGGGGTTTATCTATTTTATTTATTAGCTGTTGGTTTCATTAATTTTTTTCTATTGTTTTATTCTTCTCAATTTTATTTATTTCTTCTTTGATCTTTATTATGTCCCTCCTTCTACTGACTTTGGGCCTCATTTTTGTTCTTCTGCTATGATCCACTTTGAATTAATTCTTCTGCAAGAGATCTTCTGAAAGTAAGGGGAGGTACTAGAATGCTCCATGTGTTGATGTATCAGATTTGGAGACACCAGCGTGAATTTATGTTTACTTTAATATAGATACATATATTCTATGATGTACACACAGACACTTGTACATTTTGAAGTTGACATGTACAAAATTTCAACAGAGTTTACACAGTTTCGAAGGGTGTAATTTCTGGTGTATTGTAAATACTGATTTAAAACAAAAATCATGGTATCATTTTTTATGTGGGTCAGTGGCATTGCAATCACCCAGTGAGTTGACACCTGTGTCCATGTCCAGTTCCTCATGCTGGCTCTTTTTTCCCGGGCTTGCTTTGGAAGTGGGTCCTTTTCTTCCTGCCTCCACTTTTCATCTGCTGCCCCTCAGAGAGGTCTGTTTTCTCTTTCACCTCCAGAGAGATGGCATTTTTCTCCATGTGGGCAGTCTTTCACTACTCATGCATTGTATTTCTCTGAAACACAAATGTATATAAATTACATTTCTTGTCATCACCTGTGAGCACAGGGCTCTGATAATGTTCCTCTGGGCTTGACCAAAGCCACAGCAGCGGATTAGATGGTTACGAAACACACAAGTAAGGTGGGGCTGCAGTTCGTGTCCATGAGTCCACGTGTCTGTAGATGGATAGCACTTATTGCCAGCATGACAGAGGGCTCACCATCAGTTCCACTTCTATTTTGTGTTTTCTCTTTCAGATGTGAGGCCTAGGAACTCTATTCACAGAGCTGAGCAGCTGGGATGGGGCCCAAACTGCTGAGTGCTAGGGCCCTGAAGCCTTCTTGAGTGAACTAGACAGGGTACATGTGGGAGATGAGGTTTGGAGGGGTGATTTTTAAAACTCTGCTTGCCCCATGGATCCTCTTAAAGACATTATGTCATGCCAGGGGCCTACAGACACCTGCGAAGACAGATTCAGTGGGCCACTCCTGGACCCTGTGACTCCATGGAGACCCTGTAGCACTGGCCTGTGTAGACATGCATTTATCAACAGCCAGGACACCCATCCCCCCCACCCCTGGTGGGGCCTGGACCCCCTGAGACAGGGCATCAGAGCCGGGATGGGACTATATGGGAGGAACCCACTAACTGCCAAAGGATTGAATTCAGTCACGCGAGGCTTATTCCTTGAGCACCTCTTCTGAGCTGGTCAGCAGAGACCCTTCTGGCCAATGAGACAAGGCAGAGAAGGTGGGTTTGCAGTGACAGACATTCTGGAGACGGGGTGGGCTGTGGGCTGACATCCTAGAGACCGGGGCAGGGGGAGGTGCTTTTGAGGAGGTGACTGTGGAGGTGAGACGTGGTAGGGTGAGGAAGCCAACCAAGCAGGTACCTGCATAAAGAGCATTCTGGGAGGAGAGGCAGTGAGGGGCAGGCACTGGGGCGGGAGCTGCCGGAGCTGCCGGAGCCAGGGGAGAGTGGGTAGAGAAAGAGCAGAGCAGCAATAGAGAGGGCGGCGCCGATCATGCAGAGCCCGTAGGCCGCTGTAAGGCCTCATGCTTTGACTTGGAGTGACACGAAGAACTGTGGGAGGGTTTGGAGCCCAGGAGGGACATGATCTCAGTAAAGGGAATGGCCTGGCTGCTCAGTGGAGGAGAGACTGGGGGTCGGAGGGTCAGAGGGGAGAGGGAGCCCGGTGAGGAGGCTGCTGCTGTCATCAAGCTGAGTGCTGTTGTGGCGGGGCTGGGGCTAGAGAAGGAGGCCGTCTGGGGAGAAGACATTAGAAACCCGAAGGCACGCGGAGAGCCATATCTGCATGTGGGTGAAGACCCTTCCGGCAGAGGACACTGGCGATGCAAAGGCCCTGAGGCCGGCCCAGCCAGGCGGTCAGGGCGCTGGAGCCCGCGGGAGCCGGCCTGAATGACCAGGGAGGCCGCAGTAGAGACCAGTGCCGGCTTATTGCCTTACAAGGCTACCTGCAGCGCCGAGGCCGGCTAGGCCCCCGCGAGCTGGGCCGCCAGCGGCCAGCAGGGGCGCGCGCGGAGGGGGCGGGGCCGGTGGGGCGCGAGCGGGGCTCCGAGCTACGGCCCCTGCGCCGGGCGACGCTGCGGCTTCGGCTCCAGGTCCGCACCCGACGCTCTGGGGCGCGCACGCGCGCTTCGGCGGGGGCGTGCGGGGTCCCGGGCCGCGACAGCCGCAACTCCCGCAACTCCCGCGCGGCCCCGTGCACACCTGTCACGCCCGGCGCAGCCCACGCAGCTCGGGAAGCGGCAGACCCAGGCCGCCGAGTCCCTCCCGCCCTGAGGCGCCGGGGGCTGGGCTGCGCTGGGGCTGCCGCGTGGGTGGCCGTGGCTGTGGCAGGCGGCTGTGCGCGGGGGTCGCAGGTGCATCCCGGGAGGAGTGGTGGCCCGGGTGGCGCGTGCCTGGGAACGCTGAACCCTTAGTGGCAGGTCTAGGCCTGGGGGCAGGGCGGGGGCCCTTCTGGGCGCTGTGGGAGGTGCCAGGAGCCTTCTGGAAGGCGGCCTATAGCCGCTGACGGGGTCGTGTGCAGGCGCGGAGCGGGTGTCTGGATGCTGATCTCCGTCGGGGCGCCAGGGCAGGGGTTGCGGGATCGCGTGGCCGGCGGTGCCTCTCTGGCGGGGGGAGGCGCCCACCTGCGAGCGCGGAGCTGGGCAGTGGGGGAGGGGCGGGGTGTACCTAGGTGGGGGAGTGGGGCTGTCATGTAGCTGGCTGAGGCACTGCCCCGCCTGGGGTGGGCAGTGGGGCTGCCCCTGGCCCTGGCGCTTCCCTCCATCTCTCCGCCGCCCCCCAGACATGCTGCTGCTCAAGAAACAGACCGAGGACATCAGCAGCGTCTATGAGATCCGGGAGAAGCTTGGCTCGTGAGTGTGTGTGAGCCTGTGTCAATGAATACGTGTCGGTGAATGTATGTGTGTGGGGGGGGATGCGTGGTGTGGGACTGGGAGGACCTGCCATCTCCTTTGACCAGAGGGACTCTCCCCCACACCTCTGCTCTCTCGCCCTCGCCCTCCCCTCCTCCCCCTTTGCACCTTGCTCCCTCCCTTCTTGCACTGCCCCACCTCTGGCAGGGGCGCCTTCTCTGAGGTGGTGCTAGCCCAGGAGCGGGGCTCCTCGCGCCTTGTTGCCCTCAAGTGCATCCCCAAGAAGGCCCTTGGAGGCAAGGAGGCCCTGGTGGAGAACGAGATTGCAGTGCTCCGGAGGTACACCTGGCTCTGGCCAGGCAGCCAGCTCCTCCGAGCCTGGGGTCGCAGGTCCTGGGGTGGAGTCCCTATGTCTGCAGTGTTCCCAGGAAGGCCTGGGGTTCTGCCTTGCTGTGCCCCGCAGGGCAGCCTGTGGTGGGGAAGTGGGCAGAGGCAGGAGGAAGAGGAGACAGAGGAGCGTTTCTCTGTGGCCTGGGACAGAGTACCCCTCCACCCTGAGAGGCCCAGGGAGGGCTGCGGCAGTCCGTGAGGGTTTCTTCTCACCTTTGCAGAGTCAGCCACCCCAACATTGTGGCTCTGGAGGACGTTCACGAGAGCCCGTCCCACCTCTACCTGGCCATGGAGCTGTGAGGAGGGCAGGGGCAGGCTGGGGACTGTGGGCTGGCTGGTAAGTGGGGGCTGAGGGGCCTGGGTCAGCTGCGCCCCCACTTCCCCCAGGGTAACTGGGGGCGAGCTGTTTGACCGCATCATGGAGCGCGGGTCCTACACAGAGAAGGACGCCAGCCATCTGGTGGGCCAAGTCCTTGGCGCTGTCTCCTACCTGCACAGCCTGGGCATCGTGCACCGTGACCTCAAGGTGCCTGCCCTCCTGTCCCCCAGGTGTTGCCAGCATCCCTGTGCATCAACGGTCTGGGGATTGACCTGGCATTTTTCTCTGGTGCTCGTGTCGCAGCCTGAAAACCTTCTCTATGCCACACCGTTCGAGGACTCCAAAATCATGGTCTCTGACTTTGGCCTCTCCAAAATCCAGGCTGGCAACATGCTAGGCACTGCCTGTGGGACACCAGGATATGTGGGTAAGTGAAGGGGTTGCCCTGAGGCTTGCTGGCGGGCAGGGGGCCTGGTGGACCCTGTGGGAGCCACAGTGCCAAGGGTAGGGCAGACGGTGGGCCACTCCTGGCAGCACTGAAGGCATGGTGTGCGTGTGCACGGTTGTGCGTCCATCTGTCTCTGGCCCCCAGCCCCAGAGCTCTTGGAGCAGAAACCCTACGGGAAGGCCGTGGATGTGTGGGCCCTGGGTGTCATCTCCTACATCCTGTGAGTGGCCACTGGGAAGGCTCCTCTTCTGCTTGCCTGCCCCCTGCTGGGTTGGGGAAGGTTGGACAGCTCTGGATGATTTGTCTGTGGCTGCCAGGCTGTGTGGGTATCCCCCCTTCTACGACGAGAGCGACCCCGAACTCTTCAGCCAGATCCTGAGGGCCAGCTACGAGTTTGACTCACCCTTTTGGGATGACATCTCAGAATCAGGTGAGCTTGGGGCCGGCCTGAGCTCAGGGAGGGAAGAGTGGCCGGGGCAGGTGGGGCGGGATGGTCTGACCGGCCTCCCTGCTGCAGCCAAAGATTTCATCCGGCACCTTCTGGAGCGAGACCCCCAGAAGAGGTTCACCTGCCAGCAGGCCTTACAGCATCTCTGGTGAGTTGGAACTGTGCCAAACTCCGCTGGCCCCAAAGGAAGCGCACTCTCCACTGAGGCTGAGCCCCCCTGTAGGATCTCTGGGGATGCAGCCTTTGACAAGGACATCCTGGGTTCAGTCAGTGAGCAGATTCAAAAGAATTTTGCCCGGACCCACTGGAAGGTCAGTGTGGGGAGGAGTCTGTGGACCTCATTCAAGGTGGCACCCCCCACCCTACCCCACCACTGCCTAACCTATTCCCCGCTTCAGGGGGATGGCTTGGACCACCAGTGGCCTCTGTGGTCCCTGAAGTCCTGGGGTGGGAGCTGGGGCAGGCCTGACACCCCCTCTCCCTGCAGCGAGCATTTAATGCCACCTCTTTCCTGCGTCATATCCGCAAGTTGGGGCAGAGCCCAGAGGGTGAGGAGGCCTCAGAGCGGAGAATGGCTCACCACAGCCACCCCAAGTGGTGACGCCCAGGTATGTGGTGGTTGGCCCTGGTCCCCTGGCATCTGGCTCCTCAGTGAGCCTAGAGGGTGGTGGGCCCCACAGAGCAGAGGGTGCAGGTGGGGGGGAGGAGCCAGCATCCCAGGAGACATGGACAGGAGAGAGTGGCCAGTGGCCACTGCCACTCAGAGCCTTGACTGGGAGCAGGGGGCCCAGCGCAGGCCAGGGCACCGCCTGACTGCCTTTTCCCTGTGCTTCTCTCCCCCACACAACCCCAGGCGGATGCCGAGGCCAAGTGAATTGACCCCCATGTTCCCTTCCCCTGGACTCTTCCAGTCCCCTAACCCCCACCCTGTCTGGTGTCCGCTGGAAAGTTTGAAATGTGTGACTGTGGCGCACGGTGCTGAGGCAAGAGGGGGCATATCCTCCCTCTCAGCCCAGCCTCTGCCCTCACGAGGGGGTCAATGGGGCAAGTCCACAGAGGCCCCTCTGCCCTGCTGCCTCCACAGCGCCTCTAGCAGCCTAGGATGCTTCCAGGGGCTGTCTTCCTGCACGCCGTTCTGTGCTCCACTGACTGGATGGTCCTGCTTGTCATGGCCCTCCGGGCCCACTCCTGTTTACCCCAAATCAATAAAGACAGACAGAGCAATGGGCCAGTGGTGAGCTTGAGGGAGGGGTAAGGCGCAGGGATGGGGGGGTGAGCGTGGAGGGGATGGATGTCTCCTGTGGGAAGGAGACGAAGGAGGTTGGCCTGCTGCCACGGGAGCCCCAGCACTCGGCCTGCTCCAGCGCCACTCAAACCTCTGCACCTCTGCTCCTGTCAGCAGTGGCAGACAAGCTCCCAGTTGTCCAAGAACTTCCTACGCCTGCAAAGTGCTGGCAAGAGGCAGCCCTGCTGGCCTGCTCTGCCACCCTAGAGGCTAGCTTCATGTGGCGTGCTGGGGGGTGTCAGAAGGCCAGGTGAGGGCTTGAAGAGTGCCTTCTCCAGGCGCCCAGGGGTGGGCTTACAGGCAGTGCATGTTTCCCCCACCCCCCAGTCCAGGGCAGAGTGCACCTCCAGTGCACACCTTCTTGTGGGGAAGGCTAGGGAGCTCCAGTGTTGGGGGGTGGAGGAGCAGCCCCTGGGCCAGGAGAGGGCACCACTGGGGCCTCAACCCTTTGTGCTGTGCTGCGGCTTTGGGACCCATGAGCTCCAGGCCCCAGGCAACCCTTCTGTGGCTTTGGTTATGGCTTCTGGTATGAAAAGCACGGCTGGTCCTCTTGTCTGAGTGGCCCCTGCCCCTGACACCCCCATTCTGGATAGGCCATGGCTCCAGAGCCCTGTCTTGCTGAACCCCAAGCCTCTCCTGTGCCCATCAGGGGAAGACCTCTAGGGCCACTCCTCAGCCCCAGCCAGAGCAGAGGGGGCAGCACCAGAGTTCTAGGTGAGCTGGCCGCCTTCCTTCCCCCCATGCGCCCTGCCCTGGCTGCTCCCTGCCGGCCCCCTTTGCAGAGTGCGATGGAGAACACCCTTCTCCTTATCGACCTTTGGGACCCAAAGCAGGGCTGGCCTGGGCCTCAGAGGTGGAGGCTGGAGCAGGGTTTGGGGTTGGAGGCAGGGGCCCGGCTTCCACTGAGGAGAGCGCTCAGCCACACTGTGCTTCCGGATGGCTGGGGGTAGGTAAAGCCTGTGGCAGGCACGCCTGCCCGCGGGTCCCCAGGCCCACAGGCACTCCTGTGTTTCTCTTCTCATCCCAGCCTCCCCGCATCCTGCCCCACCTTGCCCCTTGCACAGCTTGCATGGCGCCCTGAGCCCACTGCAGCTTCCCCCTCCCTGCCCACAGCCACTTCTAGGCCATCATTTGCTCAAGGCTTCGGGGTTGCACACTCCAGTCCTATCATGCCTGCTCCCCTTTCTCTGACCCCAGTCCAGGGGACCTCAGGCAGTTAGTGCCATGGCCAGACCTCAACAGCTTGGCCTCACCTCCAAAGACCTGTCCTGACTTCCATGAACCCTGCACTTGGGGTCTCGCCATCTCCTCTCCTGCCTCCTCAGAGGTCTTCACACTGGACTCCCACGATGGCACCTTCTTGTTTTCTACATCAAATATTGATTGGCCCTCTACTCTGCCAGGCACTGGGCCCCCCAGAGAAGGGTGACTGCTCTCATGGAAGAGGCCCTATGGTAAGAGGGGGTGGGCTTACTTGGGTGACAGGAGTGATCTTGGTGGGGAAAGAAGAGTGCTGGCTGCTCAGGAGCGCCAGTGCCAGCCTCCCAGAAGGAATTGCACTCCTTGAGATCATTGCTGCAGTTGCCCCTTCCCCCGAGGGTGTAATTTGGCCTCTGGCCAGCAGGTAGCGCCATGGTCACATCCTTCCACGTCCATCAGCCACCCTTGTTCCTTCAGCCCCTGAGGCTGCTGCTCAAAACCATTACTCTCCACCCACCCTCAAAATCCTGCCCTTGGGACGCTCTCACGTCGGGGAGTGGTCCTTCCCTGCCCACCCAGGATTGGGGAAAGGGGGGGGGCCCAGGTCAGGCAGGGGCAGCCCCCTTCCTTCATCCCTCGGAGCCCTTCTCATTGGAGGGGGCAGTTCGTGAGGGGAAAGCCTTGGGTCACCATGGCTTGCGTGGCTGGGAGAGAGGAAGGGCTGGTTTCCGGAAGGGAGCGCTGGGCTAGATGGAGAGGGAGCGCCCGGTGCTCAGGCGCTGAGGCCAGGGCCTGGGGAGGGGGAGTTGGACCTCAGTGTCTGAGTAACAGAAAGCCCCTGGAGGGGTTGCAGGTGCTGAGGTCAGGTGACTGCAAAACTTGGGGGCTGTGAGTGGGGCACAGGGTCCAGTGGACTGGCCTTCCCTGGTGTCAGGAAGCAGCCCAGAATCTAGAGGCATCTGTCCTCCTTGTTCTGGGGCCACCCTGGGGGTGGGGGGTGATCCTGGGAGCCCTTCAGGAGCCAGTGGTGGGGAATGAACGAGAGGGACCCTGGAGCAGCCCCTGTGTTTCTGGGTGGACTGTGGAACCATTCGCCAAGCGGGGTTCGACAGGGGTGTGTTTGGGGGAGAGAATGAAGATTGGTTTTGAACTTCAAACATGAGTTTGAGGTGCCTGAAGGGGCAAGGAGGTAGATGAAGAGACTTGTATTGCACCCTTCCCTCTGCAAATGTGGACCCCTAGCTTCATAGCTGATCCAGAGAGTCAGCTCAGTGCAACTATTGAGTGCTTACTGTGTGCCAGTCCCTGTTTGGAGAGCTTCACAGGCATTAACTTTAATGAGGTAGCTACTCTCCATACCGTCATTCCCACTTTACCTGAGGGGAAACTGGGGCATAAGGAGGACAAATAACCTCCCTGTGCTGAGACCCGACAGCCTTGGGCTTTACCCTCCTGCCTGCCTCTGTGCAGACATGGGAGGTGTGCGTGGGGTCTGGGCTCTGCAAAGACACCTCGGGTTCAGTGTGAGAGATGACCAGGAAGTGGGGCAGGGCTGGTGGTAGGGGCACACATCTAGGGGCCACGTGGGGGGCAAGGCAAGAGATGTGGAGAGCTGTGCGGAGGCAGCTGAGGTAGGGCCGGAAAGATAGAGTCCTATTTCCATTCATGGTGGACTGAATGGGGGAAAGTGTGAGGGAGTTAAGGATGCACCACCCTAACCCTAGGAGAGAAGCAGGCCTGTTTAGGAGACGAAAGGGCCCAACCAGGACCTGCCCCTGTCAGGACTCTAAGCTGAGTTCCTGCTGGCGCTCAGTTCCCAACTCAACCCCAGCTTTGTCCAGGCACCCCTGTCTCCATCCCTGTCTCCTCAGGTGGGCAAGACACGAAGCACGGAGTGTTGGGGAAATGACAAATAACCTGCTTTCGTTGATTGAGGGTAGTTGTGCGGAGTGGCCGGAGATCAGCCTGTAAAGTGCACTTTCTCAAGAGGGTACTGCATAGCCACTGGAGGGCTGTAGGCAGGACAGTGACAGGATCAGATTTTTGCTGCTAAGAGAATTTTCAGTATTTTTCAACCCTATCTGGCCCTTCTTGATAACTGTTAGGCCTCATCTCCATAACCCCTCCCATGCCCCATGGAGGGTTCAATAGTGCCCCTCTCACCAGGGAGCCAACCAAGCCTGCCTCTCATGATGCCCTGAGGAGAGGCCTGATTGCTTTTTCTCATTTTATCTTTGTAGTTCTTCCAACTAATGCTTTATGTATTTTTAAGTTAGGTTAAGTGCAGATGAGTTAGAATTGCTGTGTATTTCAGGTAAGTTGAGTATTTGATCAGAATGTAGGGGCTACTTTTACCTCATAGTTAACTTTGGTAGTGAATAGCAGCTATAACTTTCTTTTGGTTAATATTTGCCTGGTATACCTTGTTCAATACTTTTCCTTTCAAACTTAAAATTCATTTTGTATTGAGGTATAATCCACATACCATGAAATCCACCCTTTAAAATGTACAAAGTTTTGGTTTTCATTATATTCACAAAGGTGTGCAGCTGTCACCATGATCTAATTCCAAAACATTTTATCAACACCTGAAAAACCCTGGACCCGTTAGTGGGTCTCTCCCCATTTTCCCCAACATCCTCCCACCTCAGCCCCTGGCAACTACTAATCTACTTTCTGTCTTTGTGGATTTGCCTGTTTCTGATATTTCACAGAGACGGAGCCATACAATATGTGGCCCTTTGTGTCTGACTTTTTATGCTAGCATAATATTTTCAAAATCCATCTGTGTTGTAGCATGCATCAATATTTCATTCATTTTTATAACTGAATAATATTCTGTATGGCTAGACCATGTTTTGTTTATCCACACATTCATTTATGGTCATTTTCATTCTGTCCAAAGTATTTTCTAATTTCCCTTGTAGTTTTTTTCTTTGACCTGTGGGGTTTTTTTTAGAAGTTTTTTGTTCAATTTCCAAATATTTGTGAATTCCTAGATTTCTTTCTTTTTTTGATTTCTGATTTAATTCTGTTGTGGTCAGAGATATTTTGTATTATTTCAGTCATTTTAGATGTATTTAAGCTTGTTGAATGGCCTAGGGTATGATCTATCCTGGAGACAGTTCCAAATGTATTTGAAAAGAGTGAATATTCTATGGATTTCAGCTAGGTCGAATTTGTTGAAAGTGTTGTTTAAGTTTTCTGTATCCTTGCTGATCTTTTTTCTATTTTTATCAATTATTGAAAGTGGGGTATTAAAAACTCCAACTATCATAGTTCAGTTTTCTCTTCTTTCAATTCTGTCAGTTTTTGGTTCATGTATTTTGGGGCTGCGTTGATAGATGTACATATGTTATAATTGCTATATCTTCCTCCCTTTTATCATTACAAAATGTCCCTTTTTAAAAAATAAAAGCCTTTATCTTAAAGTCTATTTTATCTGATATTAATATAGCCACTGCAGCTCTCTTATGGTCACTGTTTCCATAATATATCTTTTTCTTTCCTTTTACTTTTAATCTATTTGTGTCTTTGAATCTAAGATTTGTCTCTTATAAACAATATACAGCTGAATATTGCTTTTTTTGAATCTCTAATTTTTGATTGGGGTGTTTAGATCACACACATTTAATTTAATGATCGATACAGTTGGATTTACACTTGGCATTTTGCTATTTCTATGTATCTTTTTTATATATCTCCTGTCTTTTTTGTTCTTCTTTTCTTTCTTGACTGCCTTCCCTTGTGTTAAATATTTTTAGTGTGCCATTTGTTTTATAGTTGATATTTTAACTATATATCTTTTGAATAACAGTTACATTATAATACGCATCTTAACTAATCACAATCTACTTCATATTAATACTCACTTAATTTTGGCAAAATGTAATGACTTTGCTCTAATATGGTTCCATTTCTTCCCTCCCCTTTTGTGCTATTAGTATCAGACATATTGCATTCATTCACATAGGTTATAAACCCCAACAGTAAAGTGTTATAGCTATTGCTTTATACAATCTTATATCTTTTAGAGAAGGTAAGAGAAGAAATGAGAAAAAATATACTAAGAGAGACTTACATATTAACCCACATATTTATCATTTTTGTGGCTCTTCATTTCTTCCTGTGAAGTAACATTACTAAATGGTGTCAGCCTGAAGGACCTCTGTTAGTATTTCTTGTAAAGAAATATTACTAGCAATTAATTCTCTTCACCTTTGTTTATCTGGGAATGTCATTTTTTAACCTTCAATTTTAAAAGTACAGGTTTGCTAGATATAGAAGTTTTGATTGATAGTATGTTTCTTTCTTTCTGCTCTTTGATTATGTCAGTCCACTGTCTTTTGTCCTCCACTGTTTCTGGTGGGAAGTTCCTGTTAGTTTGATTGTAGTTCCCTTCTACATGGGCCCTTTTTCTCTTTTGCTTTCAGAATTGTCTATCTTTGCTTTTCAACAGTTTGACTACGAAGTGTCTATGACTAGCTGTCTTGGCTTTATCTTACTTAGGGTTAATTGAACTTCTTAGATCTGATTCCTGTTTCTCATAACATTTTGGATATTTCTGCCATCATTTTTTCAAGTATTTCTTCCTCTTCCCTCTTCTTCAAAGCCTCTTAGTACGTATATTTTAGTGTGCTTGATGTCCCACAGCTCTCTGAGTCTCAATAGTTTTTCTCTCTGTTCTTCAGATTGGATAATTTATATTGATCTCTTTTCAAGTTCACTAATACGTTCTTCTGACATCTTGAACCTGCTCTTGAATACCTCTAGAGAAGCTTTAGTTTCCGTTACTGTACTTTTCTATGCCATGATTTCCATTAGTAATTTTTTCATAATTTCTGTGTCCTTATTGAGAATCTTTGGATTTGTTGTTTTCATACTTCCCTTTAGCTTGTTGAACAATGGCTTCCTTTAGTACTTTCAACATATTTATAGTTACTTTGAGGTCTTCATCTGCTAGTTGCAAAACATGGGAACACTCAGAAACAGTTTCTGTTGACTGTTTTCCTGAATGTGAGTCACACTTTGCTGGGTTTTATTTTTTGCATGTCCTGTAATTTTTTGTTGAAACTTGAACATTTTTTTAAAATTAATTAATTAATTTATTTTGTTGTCATTAATCTACAATTACATGAAGAGTATTATGTTTACTAGGGTCCCCCCTTCACCAAATCACCC